AAGTCAAAGCACTAATAAATAGAAATGTGGATTTGGGACAATAAGCACAGTCCTTTTTTCATTCCTTGTATACTTCTTTTTCTGAATTTGGGGACTCAAATTATATTTCTATTTAGATCTGCCCTGTTTTCACATAAAGCCAGAAGCATGTGGTTGTATGTGAATATATATTTGTGTGTGTGGGGGGGGGGGGGATAAAATAGGGCCCCTGGATATGTGGCCAAGGGGTGATGATCAACCCCTGCCTGCCATTCTTAGTCCAGGAGTTTTTCTTCAAGACCTTGATTCCGATTCTGTCCCCTGGAAGAAGCCCAGGTATGGTTTGAAGATCCATGAAGCAAAGCTAGGCAGGCTGAGTAGCTGCTTAGGAGACCTCTCCATGCAGTGTCCACACATCCTTTCTCTTTTGTCCACCCTGTGCAAAGCCTTGGCCATCATGAAAAGCTTGCTGTCATCTGGCTTCCTTAGGTTTCTCTGTTTGTCTAACCTATTTATATTTCTGAATTCCTGTTTTATATTTTGGCTACTCATGGTGGGATGGCACGTGTGTGCATTACTGAAAAACATCCTCTGGACTAGGGGTGCTTAATGAAGTGCCTGTGGATCTTGCCACTGACCACCCACATGTCCTTCATGGACCTCCATTTTAATTAATTGTTGTTAATCCCCACCACTTTCAAATATGTGTACATGAATTTGTCTGAAATGCATACAACTTTTTAGCAATTATACATAGCTTCAACAAAATTAAAATATCAAAGCATCCAATCAGAAGGGGGTGTTTCTATGCAACCCATTCATATATGGGAAACATAGTAAGGTCCTAAGTCCATTGCATTGTAGGAGATGAGTACTGAACCTTCCAGTGTTGCAGTCTCACTCTTTGAGCTGTCACAAGGGTGTTGAGAATCCATTTCCCTTTCCATTTGTCAATTTCCAGGAAGCAGGTAAATTACCTAAACATCATGTAGATCAGTGAATATTAAAGATTTTTCCAATAGAAAATGTATTTGTGCAACAACCTCCTCCCCAAAAGAAGCAAAATATATCTTTGAAAGAACTGCACCATCAGCAATTAGCTGAATCAGACAATGCTGTATTAAACAGATGCTGCTGTGTCCAATAGACATGAAAGAAATTGTTCTTTTCCTGAGTAAGATGCAGCCCAAGAGCTATTAATCCAGTGGATAAAGACCCAAGCAGTGATGCACCGATAAGACCATTTCTGATGGTGCCCATAGCAATTTCTCCAAATCGCAAATGTGTGCACAGATCCAAAAAGCCTGGGGACCTCTGCTTTCGGGACTATGACTTATGGTGGCCAGATGCAAAAGAAGACAGGGCTCCTACACCAGTTGCGATTCCCTCTTGGACCCAGGAATTAAAAGTGCAGTAGCCCTGGTGTCCTACACATCTGGCCAGCTCATTCTTGCCTGTCCTGGGCTCATGTGTCAGTATCTTCCATCCCAGGTTTCTCCAACTGTCTTCCTCAAAACGGGACTATGCCTTTAACCAGTGGTGGTGCTCCTGGGACTTATGGGAGTTGCAGTTCAACACCTCTGAAGGGAACTATCCTATGCACTCTGCTCTATGCCTCCAAATCTTAGCAGCAGCATAGGCACCCCATATCCTTGGTTTATTATCATGTTGGGTTCTTCCTCCTACTGCTGGATGGATCATTACCAACCCATTGGTTAGTCCTGCCCCTGCATAGGAACCCCCTCCCCACTCCAACAGGTGAGCATATTACGTAGGGAGTCATGCATCACACTGTTAATCAAACTGCACATTTTCTCTGCCTAATCAGACTAGGACTTGGGCCAGAAACTGTTCACTGTGCAAAGCCATACCTGTTCTGTTCTAATATTGCTTCTGACTGGGCCACCCATATAGACACAGGGAAACACAGTACTTCAACATCCTCAAGCATGGTCTAAAATTATTCTTCTGCAAGGTTAGACAAAGAAGAGCCTGTAACTCCCAGCATGCCCCAGCCAGCTAGATTGCTTCCACTTTATGCTCATTCTGCACCACCCACCCCCATGATAAAGGGCTTGCCATAGAAGCTGCCCTCCTCTGGACTTCCGAACCCAGGTTCAATTGCTTGCGCCCTGGCTCCTGGCTAGAAGGTGAGAAATAAATAAGGACGATTGGGGGAGGAGAGCTGTAGAAGGTAGTTCAAAAGAAGCTTTGGCACCCCTGTCTACCTGTTCCCATAGCCTTTGGAGCAGAAACACGGCTTTATTCACGAAGGGGGCAGACCCATTTGGAAAAACGATTCTGCTGCCCTCACATACATCCTGGGCCTAACAACCCATTTCAAGTACCCGGAACGTGACCCAACCAAATTGGCACATTTTTAAAGTTGCTGCAATCCAATGCAGCCTTACTTGGAAAAATTCCCTGAGAAAATTCTGGAGCAGATAATATAGAAGTCTGTCTGTAAGCACCATGAAGACAATGGCGTAATTAACAGAAGCCAGCACAGATTGATCAAGAATAAGTCTTGCTGGACTAATCTGATCTCCTTTTTTGATTGGATAACCTCCTTGTGGACTGTGGGAATGTTGTGGACATACTCTATCTTGATTTCAGCAAAGCTTTTGACAAAGTGCCCCAGACATTCTGGTCAGCAAACTAGCTAAACACGGGCCCTACTGAATCACTATCAGGTGGATCCATAGTTGGCTGCAGGGAATGATCAGGGGACTGGAAACAAAGCCCTATGAGGAAAGCGTGGAAGAGCCCTGTATGTTTAGCCTTGAGAAGATAAGATTGAGGGGAGATATGATAGCATGTTCCAAATACTTGAAAGGCTGCCATTCTGGAGAGCACTAGAATCTCTTCTCAGTAATCCCAGAGTGCAGAACACAGAACAATGGGCTTAAGTTACAGGAAGCCAGATTCCAGCTGGACATCAGGAAAAACTCCCCAAATGTTAGAACAGTATGACATTATTTAGGGAGGGTGCTGGGTTCTCCCACACTGGAGGCATTCAAGAGGCCATTGGACAGCCACCTATCAGGGATGCTTTAATTTGGAGCCCTGCACTGAGCAGGGAGTGGGACTCGATGGCCTTAAAACCCCCTTCCAGTTCTACTATTCTGTGATTCTATAAGTGCCATTTGTCTGTGGGGCATACTGCTAAGTAAATGTATAGGACTGGGCTGTATTCCCCACTTAGTTCAGTGAGAGATTCCTATTTTAACCCAGTCTGGCTTGATGGTGAATCACAGAATAGCAGAGTTGGAAGGGGACATGAAGGCCATCGGGTTTCAGGACACCCACTTATACCACCCCACTCAGATGGCTGTCCAGTTTCCTTCTGAATTAAAATTCTCACAGGGGGCCTAACTTGAGTTAGTCACAATCCAAGTCTCATTGATTTCAGGGGGTGGGAACTTCATAAAACTAACTTGCTTATAGTCATACGACTAACTATATATATGTTCCCAGCCATGTGCACTACTATTCCATTCATGAGATCTGCGGGAGAGGCCCTTCTCCGGGAACCCTCCGTGAAGGACATTAGGAGGGTGGGGACTCGGAGGAGGGCTTTCTCTACAGTGGCGCCCAATCTATGGAATGCGCTCCCCAGAGAGGTCCGCCTGGCGCTGTCGTTATTTGTTTTTCGGCACCAGGCAAAGACCTTTTTATTCAAACGTCATTTTAATTGCTAATATTATTTGCTTAATTCTTCGGCCAGGGCGACTTATTTTATAATGTTAATGTGTTTTATATTTTTAGTGTTTTATATTTTAACTGATGTTTTGTAAGCCGCCCCGAGGCTTCGGCGAATGGGGCGGCATAGAAATTTTTAAATAAATAAATAAGTACATTTATATCCCACCTTTTAACCTCTTGTAAGGTACCCAAGTTGGCTTGCATAGTTGTCTTCCTTCTCCTCTCTCTCATGTTCACAACAACCACATGAAGTAGATCGGGTGAGGGAATAACTTGGACAGAGTCATCCTGTGAGCTTCATGGCCCAGCAAGGGCTAGAACCCGGCTCTCCTGAGACCCAGCCCATCACTCTAACAACTAGACAACACTGCTTTTATTTTTCTATGTGCAAAGGATCCAGAGCGGCCCAAATTCTTCCATCTTCTATACCTTGTTTTGAGCCACCAGGTCATTTTTGAGTTTGCCTTGGACTTCTGTGTCTTTTCAGGGAGAACATTCTTTCGCAGCCCTTAAAATTCCCATTAATTTCTTTCTTTTGCTTATTTACTTGCTTATGAAATAAAGGATGCATTGTATGTCATTCTCACCCTCACCCCAGTCATATGCAGGCACAAATGTATGTTTCCACTACCAGTATTTGCTGGCCCAAATCTGTTTTCTCCATCATTAACCTTCGCTTTCCCGCAATTTTTTTTTTAAACTTGGTCACAAGATAATTCCTGACGCCAGAAAGTCTGGAGGTCATATGAGTAGCAAATTGAGGAATAAGGCGGCACTAACTCCATACAAGATTTCCTCCCCCAACCTTGGAGGGGGAAGGAAAAAAATCTAAAACCTTGGGAAATTTCTCCGTCATGATGGGGGATTTATAGCTTCCGAACGTTTAAAGCCAGGGCGAAAAAAGAAAAGCTCTAGTCGCAATCTTATTTGTGTCAGTGTTTTCTACCCACGAGCTCTCTCATCCCCTGCCTAACTCATTCAAGATTAAAATGGAAAAAGACAAGGAAGAACACCAGTATGAACTTAACTCGGTTTAATGGAACCGTATGAAGGAGTAGGGAAAGGGAAGCTTCGTTTGATAGTGAAGCCCCGCCCCCTTTGTAATCAGAGCTTCCTCATTCCTTTGATGTCCTCTGCTATTTGGTGTCAGGCGAAGCCAATAGAAACCTGTTTCGCTGTTTAACCATCTTGTAAACGTTCCATTCTAACATTTTCGCTGTCATCGGAGAGAGAGGCGCGGGAGGGAACCCGGCGGCCTATTTGCATAACGGGGCGTGGCCAGGCGCGCGCGCTCGCCCCGCTCTATAAATTCAGGAGGCGGTGACAGTCGTGGCTTCTCTGCGAGAGAAAGAGCCCGGCCGTGTTCGCGCGCACAATAGAGAGCCACCCAGAGCGAGGCGCTTCTGTTGCCGCTTCCCCTTCTCGGCTTCGCCGCTGCCTCTCAGAAAATCGCTTTTGTCTGTCGCTGGCCCCTCTCGCTTTGCATTTTGCAAGCACCGGCGTGCTCGGTCGCAGCCGCGTTTTGCAGACATGAAAGCCATCAGCCCGGTGAGATCCGTCAGGAGCTGCTACGAAGCCGTGTGCTGCCTGTCGGACCAGAGCCTCGCCATCGCCCGGGGGAGCAGTAACAAGAGCCCGGCTTTGGAGGAGCCCATGAACCTCCTCTACGACATGAACGACTGCTACTCCAAGCTGCGGGAGCTGGTGCCGGGCATCCCGCAAGGCTCCAAAGTGAGCCAAGTGGAGATCTTGCAGCACGTCATAGACTACATCTTCGACCTGCAGATCGTGCTGGAGGAGCAGGCGAAGAAGGGCCAGGAGGCGGCGGAGGCGTCGCTGCTCTCTTTCAAAGTAAGCCGGCCGTCTCGGGTGGGTGGGCGAGCGAGCGAGCGAGCGCGTGGGAGGGAGAGAGGGAGGGCGGCAGCGGCGTGGGTGGCTGGCTGGCTGATGGACGGACGGACGGACGGACGGACGATGCTGCCGCGCCCGCGCGCCGCCACGGCGCGGGCTCAGGTCGTCCGAGCGGGCGCCAGCGGGACCGCCGAGCCCCCTTGGCACGGAGGAGGGTTCGCTGGAGGGCGAGACGCCGAGGGGGCCGCGGGCTGCCGCTGCATTGCTCGCCGTCTTTGTGGCCCCTCGCCTTGAGCAACGCCCGCGCCGCCGAGTCTGGCTTCGTTTTTCCTCGACGGCAGCAGCGTGATGGTCGCGAGGGTGCGGTGGCCGCGGCGGGCGGGCGGGCTGGCTCGCCGCCCGCGCCGGGGCACACAGCTCCGAATAAGCCTGACCCACGCCGGGCTGGAAGGGGCAGGGCTCGGAGGCGCCCGGATTCCTGCGGGCCGCCGGACAGTCCGTCGGGAGTCGCCGCGATCCGGAAGGCGCTTGCCGCGGACCGAGAGCCGCTGAACTGAAAATTCACCTTAAAGTTAGCATTGCAGTAAGGCGGGAAGATCGCGCTGTGCGTCTTCAGTGGGACATGATTTGGGGCTTCAGTGTGGGAAGCTGATCGTCTTGGAATATATTTGCTTTCCCGCTAAGGCCGGACAGGGACCCACCGTCTATTTAAGTTATGGAGCGATCTTAGCCGTTTTAAATCAGATGAGGGGGTCAGCATAGGAAAGCTTGGTTAAGATCCAAAGCGCGCATATACACACACAGACACACACACGGGGGCGGGGGGCAGCCTGGAACTCGGATCAGTCACTGATTCACAGCCTGCCCTACCTTACAGGGTTGTTGTGGGCATAAAGAGGAGAGAAGGAAGACTGCAAGCAGCCTCGGCTTTTGAGGGAAAAAGACAGGCTATAAAAATAACCATAAACACAATGGAATGCGCCTTATTAAAAGGACTTTTTAAAAATCTCATTGAAGAGTATAGTTAATTTACTACATGGAAGCTTCAGGCAATTTTATGAGGGTTTTCTTCCCAGTAAATTGAATCGGAGTTTAATCCAATACAGGTCTATTCAGAAGTAAGGAGCATTCAGGCAAATGAGACTTACTGTAAAGTTAGATAGATGGGAGTTTGTCCTTATGAACTAAATGGACTTACTTCTGGGTAAACCATGTATAGTATATTACTAGTAGGAAAGATTCCATATTCCATGGTGCACTCCAAGGAACGCTGTCCTGGGGAGCTAAGTTCCCTTCAGCCTGCAACCCTTGCTTACTGGGTAGAGAGGCCTCTGGGAACATGCATTCTATTTATTTTTCAAATAGTAGGCCCACTGATTCCAGTGGGGCTTATTCTTGCTTAAATGTACAAGAGGATGGCTTGAATCCATGCAGCTATCCTGAAAAACAAATCTCTTACCTGCTTCTTTGTCACTAAATATCATATCATATATCAGGAACTCAAGATCTCCTTATTTTTTCTCCCCCCCCCCCCCTTTCTGCAGACGGCAGACCTTGCATCAGAACTCTGCTCAAAGGATGAGAGAAACCTTTGCCACTAATATCTTAACAGGTACAGCTGTTTTTCTAACCCAGTCTCTCTGCCCCAAACCTTAGCCAGAAAGATTTCTTTGCAATCTTTAAAAAAATGAACATAACCCCCTACCATCTGTTGAGAAATTGTGGCCTGCAACCTCATGTTGCTCCAGAGTAGCCCTATTCCTCTCCCCACCCCTGTAAGAGAATGTGGCTTGCAGCCCCTTGTCTCTGCTGCCAATACAGCCTCAGATGCCTCTTTGCCTTTTGCCTGTAAATGGAGTCATTATTTTTACAATGTCATTCTTTTAATAGCTTTAAGTCTCTGCAGCTGCTTAAACAGCCCTGTTGAAATCAGTGAATCAAGAGGCACTCGGCTCTCTCCCTCCCCCCCTTTTTTAGTCAGGAAGACACCACTAAACAGTTGTGTATCCTCCCCCCTTTCAGAATCTGTAATTTTAGATCCATCTGCAGAGAGTTAGAAGCAGGAGGGTCCAGCTCCCTCCCTCTTGTAGCAGGCCCAGCAAAACCCCCCAACTCCACCCTGCCTTCCTTGGGATTTTCGGTGCCAATTAGTTAAACCTCCAGCCTTGAGTGTTGGCTCCCGATTCCTTATCAGCTGGAGGTAAATAGAAGGTTCCTCTCTGGCGCCAGGATGTCTGCAGACCTGCTTCTGATGTTGCTGTAACTGACATGTTTCTCGCCTCTCCCATCCCCCCTTCCCTATTCAGACTGCAGGTGTGAGATCCTGACACTTCGTTCTCTCCAGTAAAAGAGAGAGAAGATAGAAGAAAAAGACCTTGACTGGAGAAAGGATCAGATGTTTAACCCCCATGTACTCAGCCATGGAGGGGGTAGCTGCCTTTATCTTCCAGATAAACTCTGTCTGTGGAGCTAGGCTGTACAAGGCAATTTTCACCCGCCTTGACTGGGACTTCGAATAACATTTTGTTACTTCTCCTTTGTGTTTTATTTTCCATCTGCCTGAAAACCAAACTGCAGGACAGAAAAAAACTCAGAATGCAACAAAAGAACCCCCTTTTTCATCGGATGGTGGGAAGGGTTAAAGAATTTAAGAACAAAAAGGTGCTCTGAGCCATCAGATCCGCACTTAACTGCGCGCTGTTGCTGGTCGGATCTCCGAGAAATGACAACAGCATCCCTTCCATGATGGCAGTTTTAGGACAGTGCAGGACAGATCCGTGCTTTGCTCTTTTAAAAAGAAAGGGCATGGCAAACTTTGACAGATAATGCAGCCTGTGTGTATATTTTGGATTATAGTTTTTTAACATCAATTTTGGGAGGGTTAGAAGGTGCTTTTAAGAGTTATGGAAACTGAACAGTCTTGGGGCTAGTTTGCCTCATGGTTTTTATTGTTGAACTCTATAATAGAGATAATGTGTACTTTTTTTTTGGCAGGAAGGTTAATTTCTGCATCCATTAACTGTACTTGCTTTGTAAAAAAACTTTTTATAAAAGTTTCTTATGTAATAAATTTACACTGTTTTTTTTTTTTAATTTCTTGGGGACTTTTTTGGGTGGGTGGAATAACTCTTCAATTTTCCTTCCATTCCATGACATAGCTTCTCTTAGAAACTCACTCACCATTGTACAGCAGCTTCCTATCATCCTTAAAAGTGGATGTCTGGGGATGATGGGAGTTATAGTTGTAAACAGCTGAAAGTTTGTAGGCTGAGGAAGGATGATCTAGTCCAGGGATTCCATTCCAGTTTTTCATACCTGGAATGGGTCTTTAGCCACTTGCATGAACATCTCTGATCTTCTCTGCAGAGCAGTCCTGCTGAGTTTACAGGTCAAAGAAGTCTTACAATAAGTTTTAAGCACCGCTGTATTTGTATGGTACAGTGATCCTAGTTCAGTTATTTTCTACAAAAAGGGATCCTTTTAAATGTAAACCCCACGAATCATCAACCTCAATCTTGGAACAACTGCAGTTTCTTAGAATGGCTCTTGAGCTGCAGTGTTCAAATAAGGAATTCAAGAAGTAAAAGGGTTGGCTTAGTAAGCAAAGCATTCTTCAGAAAGGAAGAAGGCAGAATAGTGAAATGACTCTTGCATACTACAAATACCTAGAAACAGGAACACAAAATTCTGGAAGCTCACGGGCCCTGCATGCACACAGCGCTTTTCACTCAAATGTATTAAAAATGGCACCACAATTGTTCTGGGCGGAAAAACCCCCTAAAACCTATTCTACAGATGAATGAGTGCTTCTGGGAGGTTATGTGCTGTTTAGTCATCCCTGCAGTGATCGTGACCCTCTGAATTTCCAATGCCCTGTCCTTGGCAGCCCCGCTCAGCCTAGCCTACCCAAACTTTTCTTCATGGAATCCTTGCACAAGACTGTCCTCGGCCAGGAATGAGAAAGTAGAATAGGGTGGAGGTTGGTAACCTGGGCCTTCCAGATGGGTTGGAGGACAATTTGCAGCACCCACAGCCATGCTCCAAAACAGCTAAAGGATACAGAGGGGACATGTGTGCCAGCAAAACTGCCCAGGCCTGGCCACTGGAATGCCAAATCTAGATAGTGGCCAGTAACAATGGAGCTGATCGGTCCCCCTCCATGTGCATTTGCCCCTGGGCCTTTGAGCCCCTTGTACTTCGCCCAAAACTGTTCTGCCTTTTTTCCTGTTTTTTCTTTTTGCTATGCATCCTTTCAACCACAGTGCATTTTCCTGTAAAGTAGGGGGCATCCTTAGCTCCACAAATGTGGATGGGGTGTGTGGGTAAGATGAGGAAAGCAAATTGCCAAAGGCTACCCGCTGAATTTCCTGGAAGGATTTATATACACTGCAGCATGCCTCTCACATGGGGGTCAGATACATACCACACAGGATACAGGCCTGATCTAGTACGCAGCTTTTAACCTAGAAATTCTTAAATCCTATGAAAAGTAATGGAAGATCAACTAATCCCTTGGGGGCAGGACTAGGCATCTCTGGAGGTGGGAGGGAAAGAGGACTGACACCTTACAAGGAAGTGCCCAGTGTTCTCCATTTGAGGGTTTGCTATGGATGAAATTCTATCAGTCAAAAGAAGAAAAACATTCTCTGCAGGGGTGCAGCTATGAAGCAGGGTGCAATCCAAGCACTACAGACAGCACTGAAAGATCATGTACTTGAGGTGTAACCAAGTCTCTGGGACCAAGTCCAGGCGAATTTCCTTGCTACAATTCAACCTAATCTCTTGGGTTAATTCAAGAACATCAGTCGCCAAAGCTGAGCAGAATTTGGGTGAGATTTAAACAATACACACATGAAGAAGAATGAGCCTAGAACAGGCCACAGATCAGGTGGTCCCCAGTGCGAATCTCGCCTCTGCCATGAACATCTGGCAGCCTTCAGCAAGTCGCACTGGCCCAACCTCAGTTCCTTGACCTGCAGGCCTGGGCAGGATCAGACTGGGTTGTAAGGATCACAACTGCACAATGCACACAAAGCACTTTAAGCACACAAAGGCAGTATACTCAATCCTCCCTCAAGTGTGTTGGACGATTCCCATAAAGGGATGATAGGGATTGTAGTCCAACGCGCCTAATGTCTACCATGTTGGGGAAGGCTCCCAGTCCCAACGAGAGGTCAAGGATAGGCTGGACGTGCACATGGTGGGCATGTCGGGAGTGGAGCCGGCTGGTGCCGGAGGTCAGACTAGATGGCCCGGGAGACCCCTTCTGACTCACTCTGTTTCTATGTTTCTATGTCACTGGCTGAGAATCGTTGCAGAGCTGAAAGCTGTTTGGCAGATGCGACCGCACCGAGCGCTTCAGTCTTGCATCTGCCGCACCTGGCCTGGCTGGCTGGCTGGCTGGCTGGCTTGCTCACACAAGCCGATTCGCCACCGCACACCTCTGCCTTTGCAACACCGTTTCGGTCATGAGAGCACCAGGTGAAGCAATCCTGGAACAGAAAGCCAAGCCTATCTAGGTTTTCACCATGGTCAGGTCACAGCACAGATGACTGATTGGTTTTCCCCATTCCGCATACTGGTATTTGTGGCTGAAGTAAGTATTGCTGATTGTATTGCTAATTGCGGGATAGCATAGAATACATCACGAAGCAGCACAGCCAGGTGCCAATAGGCCTTGTTTCCAAACATGGCTTGGCTAACATTCCTTGGTTCCAGCTTCTGCTCAGCAAGTTGCTCCCTTCCAGTTTCACCGGGACTGCAAGCTTGGGATGATCCCTGGGTGCCAATTTCCACCTCTGGAACCCACTGGGGGAGGCCTGAGTTTGTGTTAAATCCAAATCATGCTCTTGTCACCTAAGGGTTGTGCAATTTTGCATTACAAGACATGTGCTAGACAAGTGGAATGGGGGGGGGGACCACTGGGGAAGGTACAAAAAAGCATGGGGGGGGGGGGAGTGTCGCATGCTTCCCACACTTGAAAGAAGCTGCCTTAACCTGAATCAATGTGTTGGTCCATCTAGTCCAATGCTGGGTGCTCTGAGTAGTCCAGACAGTTATTATTTCCCCTTTCGTTTCAATTATGATTGTTTTTCTTTTCTTTGCATAGTTACAAACCAAATACAGTACAAAGTTACAGAAGGCAATACTAAGTCCACAGGACCTGAAACACACTGGTTTGGATATGCTAGCTTTTCATGAATGTGAAAACCTGCCACCGTGGAACTAGCGCCAACATTGCCACTCACTGTTTTCCCCCTCCTGCTTCCCTTTTCCTCCCTTTCTATTTTCCCCTTCCTGCCATCTTCCTTTCTCTCCTCATCGCCTGCCACTTGCCACCTGGGGCTGCCTGCTTGCTGCTCAAGGTCCCATCAGCTTCAGCCCACACGGCATATGCTTGGCAGTTCTGATAGCTGTAGTCCAAAGCATCTGGAGGACATCAGGTGTATAAGGCTACCTGTTGAACAGGCTACAGCTAGGCCCCTCCGTGTGTCCTTTGCATGAGAACATGCACAAATTGCAGACAAATTCATGGACATTCTTCCCCCATGAGGAAAAAGCAAAGGTTGATTCAGGCAGGCCCTTCATCATTTAGGAAAGACCCCCATTGTGGAGTGGTCTGTGGAGGCCAAGCCTTTCTCCAGTCACCTGTTTGAGAAGAAGAGATTTACGACTAATGCCCCCCCCCCCCCGCCGCCTCCCCGCAGGCATCCGACTGATGACAGGAAGAAAAAGTTCAAAGTTGCAAACATCTGCACCCGGGAACAAATGACAGCTTTCATGCCTCTGTTTGTAGGGCGGGTGAAGCAGCGGGAGTGTGGGTGGAACACGCCGTCGCCACCACTTGAGTGAGCGGCAGTGGCTTAGGACTGAACAGTCCCATTCTTGACAAGCTTTGCTCCCATGTGGGCCCGTTCACACGGCGCAGTCTCAGAAGGGTCCTGCTGGATCAGACCAAAAGTCCCGAGTCCAGCAGCTGGTTTCCCACTGGGAAGCCCAGAAGCCAGTCACGAGGGTGGCAGCTTTGCCCTTCTGTTGCCCCGCGTCTGCAGGGTCTTCAAGGACAGACAGACTGCCACCAGGGAGAGTTCCCTTTTGCCTCCCCGAACGGAATGCATGGCTTTCAGGTGGAGGGTCCCTGGCACTACTAATTTAAAGGGCTGGGGCATTCAGCCTCTCCCTGCTTAATGGATTTTCACTCCCATGAACAAAGGCAGCAGAAGCAGCGGGGAATGGCAGGTGACCAATGGACCAACATCAAGTTTTGTGAATGAGACTGGGTAATTGCACAACAATCGCCTCATCTGGAACTCCCCGGGGGACCAGTGGAACCTGCAACAAAGGCTCCCTCTTGTGCAGCGCTCCAAAGAGCTGGCCATGCCCTGCACCACCTTACGCCATTCTATTAATTTCCCCGCCTGGTGCTCTCCCATTCTCCCCCCACAACAGTCAATCTGCTTTCTGTGGCCACCAAGAATGCTCAGAGGTCTGTGGGGTAGGACGTTCCTCCCCCAGCCTAAATTCCCCCCTTCTGCAAATCTTTTTGTTTCCCCCAGGCCTAATGACAAGAAGCATCATCATCCTCATGTGGCAAAATATTCCAGCTTGTCTCAGCTGTATTTGGGAAAACAATGCCAGAAGACTCGGTCAGTCATTTGGAGGGGGAAAGAAAACATCAGAATTAAGTTTGCAAACTATTTCAGTGTGAAGGTTCAGTATTTCAGGACCTTCTGGCAGCTCCTGGTCTTTTTTGAGCAGCTCTTTGTATGAAAGGCAGCCCTGATCCTGAGAGAATTTGAGAGCGAGTTCTCAAAAGGTATTCATCACCAGCACCACCTCAAAAAGGGAAGGAAGGAAGGAAGGGAGAGAGGAAGGAAGGAAGGAAGGGAGGGTGGATGGAAGGGGAATAAAGAAAGGTAGCTTTCAGTACAGCTTTACATGGAAAAGATTAATTGTAATTGTGTGTAGCAGAGAAGCAATCAAATCGGTTGTGCAGACCCTGACTTCTTCCTCAAAGGAAAATAACTGGGAGGGGGTTTACAAGGGAAAAGCAGCAAGGGAGGGGTGCTTCACACAGTTTCCCTCCTTG